CAGCGACATTCTCTTGCACAAGATGAGTGACATAAATCCAGTGGACTTATTCTTGGGACTGCAAGATATCTCCATTTCAAAAAGGAACTCCCAATAATATTTTTGTTTTCTCTGATCCAACAAACATACTATGAAACCCAGTGAATTAACATTTCCAAAGATGCCGAGTTCCTCTTATGGGAAGCCACTGTCATAAACATAAAATACTACTGGCCCGTTCAGCACAACATAGTACAACACCACTTCCCATAACAAGTTTAAATCAACATTAGGTGATGTGGTGTGGTACTGTTTAAATCACTAAGATGATGTGTCATTCAGACAATATTTCAAAATAAAAATGGAACCTCATCAAATTGAGAGAACTTGCATTTATTTTATTTTATGATGGTCAGGATCAAAGAAGCTGATGCTAACTATGCTAACTGGGCAGATGCAGTGGACCTTTCCTGACTTCTGACAGTGACTCAGCCCATTTTATTAACAAGTTAAAGCTAAGTAAATGATGAATCAATGCCCTCAAAGCAGGAAAAGATGCCAGTTTCCCACTAAAAATCACGAAGTGTGATAAACCTATTTCCGTTAAGAAAACTGCTGGAGTTTTTACTGGGGGATTTCCTAGGCAAACAGAGGCAAAGATACATAAACCCAAAGCGGAAGGTAAGCAGATTTGCTCTCAGTGTTTTTATGCTGGACACTAATGCAAACACAGTGAGTAGTTCAGGGCTGTTTCATGTCATCCTCCTCTCCAAACCCGATCGGAAGAGATAACCCACCACACATCACACTTGCCCACTCCAGTTGGGCTGGCACAGAGACGGGGCACACATCCTGTGGGAAGAACACAGCCCTCGGCAAAACCGCAGAAGTACGAACGCCCACTTCATTCACTCATCCCTATAAAGTACCAGCACCTTCTTCCTCCTCTCCATTTCCTCTTCCACAATTATTTACGTTATCAACCACTATGATCGTTTAACAACATCCTCTGACTTCTAAACTCGAATCACTCAGCTCTGCCAAGGTCACCTGTCTTTATATTAGTATGCACAGCTACCGAATGCCTCTTTATGCCACGTAACATGCTAGGCACTTTACCTGCTTTGGTTCATTTCATCCTCATTTCCCAGGAGGTGCAAACTAAGTCAAAGAAGCTATGGAATACCACATTGCCTGGGTGGTATTTCTGCCAAAAATGTTTACAATGAATCTGCTGAAGAGGAAACAATTAGACAAATCTAAACCCTGGAACGCTGTGCAAAATAAATGTCCCGAGTTCTTCAAGAACTGTCAGTATCCTGAAAAACAATAATAATAATTGTAAAGCTACATGACCATGCCAGTTGTCAGGCTCTTTTACATGCTGGTAATCCTGCCCCCACTGGGCCAATTGTCGAGCTACACGACTACACCAGTTGTCGAGCTAGGGCTGGATCTGGAGCTCACAGACCCCTCAAGCCTGTTGTCCAGACTGGGTCACAAACCCTTCACACTCCAGGCTGGGTCCCCAGACCCCTCACACACCAGGCCGGGTCACCAGACCCCTTACACGCAGGTCTGTGAGCTAGGCTACGGGCAAAAAGTCCTTGGAAGCCCTAGGTTGGAAAGCATGTCTGCTCCTGCTGCCAGTGGCCACCTGAGGCAGTAAAACGCCAGCCAAGTCAGGGAGCCGCGCAGGTGCACTAACTCCACACACCACCTATTCACAGCAAACGCTTGGCAAGATTCTGAACACCTCAGGGGCCCTGACCATTTTCCTATATTTTCCCAACAATAAGCATATTGATAATAATAACAAATCTGCGTAACTTTATTAGACTCAAGGAGACTAAAAAGAATTGAGAATAAAATGGATTGTGTGACCCTTATTAGATCCCTGAATCATAAAAACGAAAGAAAAAAACCCAAAACTCTAGTTATAAAGGGCATTTTTCACAAAATTTGGAAAATTTAAATATTTATTGACTGTTAGATAATAGTACTATATCAATATTAAATTTCCTGAATGTGATTACTATACTGGGTCTATGTAAGAGAATGTTCTCCTTAGGATATCTCCACTGAAGTAATTAGGGGCAAAGCTCAATGATATCTGCAACTATCTCTCAAAAGGTTCAGAAACAACAGATAAACAAACAGATAAAGAACCACCTAAGAAAGGGGGCCACGGCAGAGGAGAGAAAGAAAAAGTGGCAGAATATTAACAATGGGTGAATATGGGTGCAGGGTGTATAGATGTTAATTGCACTAGTCTTGAAATTTTTATATGTTACAACATTTCCAAAGAGGGAATTAAAAAAATAAAGAATCATGAAACAAAATGCTAAAACCCATACAAATGAACCCCAAGGAGCAGGAACAGCAAGGAACTTGGCCACAGCCAAACCTTTAGCTTCTTTCCTAGCTGGGATACAAACATCAGGTGTTTGGGTGGTGGTGCTGGTGGTTGTTTTTCACTCCAATAATGATTGAAATATTTTTCTACATGTATTCTTTTAAAGCCTGTGTACAAAGGAGACACAATGATTGCTTTTCTCTTAGAGTCTTGTTAAGGGTGGTCATGACTACTGAGAAGGAGACACAGTGAAGAAGTGGGGGTTCCCATCGATCCTTCTGAGCTTCACTGCCTTGTGGAGTATGATTCTCACCCAGGTGGAATGAAATAAGATGACGAAAAGCCCACGGCTAATATCATTTAAAACCCAACTGGAAGCCACATAAAATGCTAAAAAGAATAAGCTCATCTCAACCTATAGGAATATAACAGATACTGGAAGGAGAGATTTCCTGTCTCCAGTGTCCGTGAACTTAACAGTTGGGTATCACGCACACCGCTCTGCAGACGGATCCTGTGGGAGGAGGCTAATGGTTTGTTCACACCCTACCGCATACGTAAAACCTCAAAGTAGGTATGACATCTTCTGATTAATATTTCTAATTGCCCATCATCCACATCCACATGGATCTTTTACAACCACCTGAAACTCAAACTCCTAAAGTCAATTTATTATTCCTTCTCCTCCCCCCTCCCCTCCACCCAAACACCCTCTTTTCCTCCACACTTCCACAGTTTTCTTGTATTTTCAATTTCTATTAATGGCACAACTTTCCATCTTGGTGTCTAGGGGTGAAACTCAGGAATAAACCTTGGCCCCTTCTCTTTATTCCACATATAAAGTCATAATTGGTGATCCTTCCTCCTAAATAATAGCTCCTGAACAAATTCTCCATCCTTACTTCAAGTCACCGTCTTGCTCACAAGGTCACCTGCAATGGCCCCCTCCTTCTTTTTCTAGCTCTCATTCCAGCCTCATTACTCCAACCATCTTGTCACCTGAGTTCATTTTCTGTAATGTCAATCTGAGTGTGTCTCTCTCCTAATACAGAGCCCATGATGGTTCTTCCCTTCCAGTAGGATAAGGAGCAAATTTATTAGCATAAAATACGTGGTTTCCCATGAGCCAGCACACTGTTCTGTGACTTCATGAGCCATGTACACCCCAGAGGCTGCTGTCCTGAGCCACCGGGACCTGCCTTGAGGTGTGTCCTCTCCCTTGCTCACATCTTGTGAATGCTCTTGCTGTCTGGGATGCTGTTTCCCATTTATCCATTTGGAAAAGCCTTAGTCTTCCTTTAATGCCTAGATCACTAGGTCTTTCTTTCCCTCCTTCCCTGAGGCAGGGTTAGGAACATCTTCTTTAGGCTCCTGTGGCGTCTCTATTATATCATTTATCCAAACAGCCCTATAACACTTTGTTCACATGTCTGTCCTCACCAATAAAACCTCTGGGGGCAGAAGCATGTTTTAATAATCTTCGTATCCCCAGCCCCCAGCACAATGTCTGACAGATGGCAGGTACTCAACAGATGTTCATTAAACAAAAGAACATATTAATAAACAGGAAGGTAAGCATAAACCATAAAAAGTGTGGTTTATTGGACTTAAATACACATATTAACAAACTCATAGACCAGGCCAATAATGATGGAACTGCAGATGCTGGTAAAATCCAAGATTCAAAACTTTTATTCCTACTACCTACCTATTCAACCCATTATTTTGCTCACTAAAAACCTATTACTCCAAGATTGCAAAGGGGTCCCCACAAAAACTTTTTTCCCCTGTGCATGTCTGGGAGTAACCCCTAGGTAGGTCAACTCAAGCGAGATGACAAGTGGAGAGGGGTGACAAGAAGTGTGGGCATGCTCTCCGCATCTCTGGAGGGTTGGGCAGTTCAGAGAGAGGAAAACTGAGGTGTCCAACCTCCTTCCAAATCTGCCTGTACTGGTGCAGCCACACACCTGCTATTGGGCAAGAGAAGTTCACTGGTGCCTGCTCCAAAAAGGGGCAGGAGATGGGGAGGCAAGAGATGCAGTCTCCTGTTTTTGGTGTGTGGTCCATAAAAGCACACATGAGATTGGGGAGCAGAAGTATGAGAAAGGCCCCAAAAGGCCGCTGGAGCCGATGCCAAATTCAGAAGTAAAAACATCATGAAGATCATAGTCATTTACAAATTTTCCCCCAGAAACCCTTTATGAAGGTGATAAAATATTCAATGAACAGCCCCTTTCTGGCCACCCATATAAAGTCCTGTACCTTTTTATGCTCTGCTCTCAAGCTCACCCTCCTGATCCACATGATGAGGGCACTTTCTTCCATCTGGAAAGTGTTTCAACTTGCACTCACATTACCTTAAAACTGAGTCCCTGAAACAAACTGAGGAAAGGTGGGAAAGGCAGAAATTTGGATGCATTTTCCCAGCATCTGACACTTCAATTGGCTACTGCCAACATCATTTCGTTTGTTTTCCGTAGAAAAATAAAGCAAATAATGAGATATGTGGTCCACGTGCTTTGTGTATGTACTTTTAAAATGTCACCTTTGGGTAACTCAACCCACCTACAGATTATTAATAAAATTCGGCAACTGTCAAAGCACTTCTCGGTGGAGGGAGGCTTGGCGGCGACACCTATTAGGAGAGAGAGACAGATGGCCTTACCTCTCGGCGCCCGCATCCACAGCTGTGAGCGGAGGTAACTGGGAGGAGGGGTTGTGGGGGCTCCCCTGTACATTATGTCCCGGAGAAGGGTGACTGGCAGGATGTGGGGGTGGCACGGCCCCAGCAGCTGTTCCACTTCGGCTTGAGTGATTGCTGGAGAAAATGGAAGCTGCAATCAAGGGAGAACAAGCGTGAGACTGTGGCCCAAGGAAGCCCCTGTCTTTTAAATACCCAAGACTGACAGCAAACATATGTCAGGGGCTTGTTTGTTTTTCTCTGGGTGGTTTTCATGGAGCAGTTCTCCCCTTCTTGGATATGCACAAATTTTGTTTCCATGGTGGGACGGGGTCCTCAGCAGCGGCTAATGTGCCTTTACTGTCACCTCAGGAGCTCATGGTGGGTTCCCTCCAGGCTGACGTCCAGTGCCGCCTGGCCCTGCCACTTCCCTGTCTGCACACTGTCTACTTGGTCAGTCTTGTGCTGTTTGCATCGGTGTGAAGGTCTCTGGGTTAGTGCTTTTCAGTCACGGGGAGGAGAGGCAGGTAACGGAATATTCAGTCAGCTGACCGAGAAGGGCACAGCACAGGCCTTCTTCCCCTTCTCACTGCTGCCAAGGGGCCCTGTGGGTCAGGCCGGATCCCTCTGTGTGGCTGCTCAGTCAGCATCATGAGAACGGAGCTCCCCCAACCCTAGCACCAGTGTAGAAGCCTACACCCTTTTAACTTAAGAGTCTAACTGACCCCAGCCTTTCCCGATGGTGTGATGAATCCTTGGTCTTCATCAAAAAGAAGTCCTCTCCTGACAACACAAAATATGAAAAGGGACCAATTGCAGCTCTGGGATCATCAGACCATCGCCCCCCAATCCCCCACTGTTGCTTATTACAACACAGAGGGTGAGGTGGAGCCCCATTCATAGGGCAGCCTAGACTTGGAGAACTGTGTGTGACCTCAAACTTGAATAGGTGCCCGTTTAGATCGGCTAATTGGTGTGATTTCCAGAAGGAACCGGGCCTTGTCACTTTCTGAGTCTATCAGAGGCTCTCTTGGAGTCTGGCACCCGCTCAGCAGCCATCTCACTATGCTGTAATCACACCAGCATCGTGATTGTGACTCCCTTTAACTTCCTTTTCTGTACAAAGCTATACTGAGCTCTATACCCATTTCTGCTTTTTGTACTTACTCTACTGATATCAAAGCATAAATGGATTTTTTTAAAAAAAATCAGGTTCAGGATTTAAAAAGTGGAGCCACATCTATACCCATTTCTGCTTTTTGTACTTACTCTACTGATATCAAAGCATAAATGGATTTTTTAAAAAAAAATCAGGTTCAGGATTTAAAAAGTGGAGCCACATTATCGAAATGATTTGAGGGTTTAAAAGTTCAGGGAGTTGTATTTTTAGACAAGTATGACTTTTCCCTAAACTCCCCAGGATAGAATTAATACCCCAGATGTCCCAGCCCCCAAAAGCCTAATCCAATGGAACAAGAGTTCAAGTACTTAGAGGAACATGTAAAGAGGCAGAATTACCATCTTCCCGCTCAAAAAGCTACTGACAGGGGTGTGATCTGACTTGAAGAGTTTATTTCTGGGAAATCAGCATTCGTCAGGTTAACTTATCCTCAGAAGCCTGCATCCCCACAGTCCTCCAAGTCCTAAAGAGGCAGTGAGGCCGGAAAATTCCTACCAGCTCAGAAAGGCAGTGCCGAGCTTGTGCTGGGTGCGTCAGCCTCCGTAAAAGTTGCACATTTGCAAACTCGCTAGAGTCACCTTATGAATCACCACCCTCATTTATGCTCAGCTAGCTCCAGGAACCACAGTTCTGCTTGTACTCCAAATAATAATTTTACCCAGGGGAGAAGCCCGGTTGGATTGACTGTGGCAATAGTTTCAATACTGGTGTTTGTCAGCGTGGAGCTTGGTGTTTTATATACTATTCTGAAATCTAATGGAATAATAAGAGGTCACAGAGACACTGTGAAAACACAGCTAACTTTGTTTTCCTGTCTTAGTGTAGAAATGTGAGATCTCCTATTTATTTTCAGTTGCTGAATGCACCCATCATTTATTTCCCCTGGAGGTATGTTTGTATGTATATACAAATGTTTATTGCAAGGGAAGCACTGCCCCGGCTGTTTGCAGACCAATGGGCAACAGGGAAACTTGGTGTGTGCTCTCCTTGATGGTTCAACAGAAAGTGTGCTGCTTCCAGGTCTATACAGCTACATTTGACATTAGCTGCCATGAAATAGGCTGGGAAACTTGGCATTGCTTGTAGCCTGCCATTCACTAAAAGTTAGGTTTAGAGTCTCTCCTTTATCCCATTTAACAGCCAGAACCAATCATCCACCATTCATCCATCCATCATCTGTCTATCCATCCATCTAACTGCCCATCTGTCCATCCATCCATCCATCCAACAACCATTATTTTCTAAATTTAACATTTGCCAAGTGCCTACAACGTGCTAGCTACTCTACCATATGTGGGCCCCTGTCCTTGAGGAGGTTGCAACTTAGTGAGGGGAACAGACCTTTATATGTCAAGTTTACCAAAATACTAAGAGACAAACTGGTATAAAGCACCGAACAGTATTCGAAGAACTTTAACACACTATCTTATTAGTGGT